ACTACCCTAATTTTATTAAAACCTAATTTTCTTGGCTGATTTTGTATTACGTAACTCCAATTACCAATCTTCACCTGTTTAGTTAATATAACTATAACCAATTATATCTTGTTTGACAAACTTAATGTGTACATACACACAAAATAACACATATATATTGGCGATTGTACAGCTAAGAAAATGAATTCGCCGAAAAGAGACTCTTCGCTGATCTACGTGTTTTGTTTTCATTAATGCCTGGATGGGGATTATCCATGAATCATCTGTAAAATTCAACTAATTTATTTCCTGTTACAACCCATTTCCAGAATGTAAAAGTGAACGACTGTATAGGCGAATGATGAAGTATAACTTAATACACCTTATGGAGAACTCTATATTATGAAATTTTTACTGACATCTTATTTCAGGTTAGAACACTGATTGATTTCAGTCAGAGAACCATTGAAAGCCAGCACTGGAGTAGTGGACAGCTGTTTCATCCTGGTTCAGCAATCGTCGGCAGTATGCACCCATTGGGTTTCGAAGCCAGGACGTCCCAGTTAAAAGGCAAGCTCGTATACCATTTAGCCACTGAGACTGGAACCAATGGCTCACGAATTCTAACTTCGGTTAATTCGAAACCAAGTGAGTGAGTACTGCTGGTGAGTCCCAAACTAGGATGAAACGGCTGTCCAGTACTCTCTGGTTTTCAATGGTTCTCTAACTGAAATCAATCCGTAGTATAACCTGGAACAAATAGAATCCCTACAAAAAGCTGATTCTTGGAGAAAAAAGCTGACATTTTAACCGAAACGTCTCAGAAGTATTTTCCTTGTTTGGGACATAAATACGTTGTGAAATATATAAAAGTTTTAATGTATTCATTAGTTTACAGTGTGACATCATCAAATCAATGTGCACCGTGATGACGAGCTACCTAGAATGGTGATTACATTGCAAAACCTGACTGATAGAATTCTGTCTGCACCAAAGAAAGGACTAGAAACGTCAAACTAGTTACTAGTGTTCAATCAAAATACATTCTCTCTAAACATTAAATAAAAGTAGTAGTAGTAGTACTAGAAACAAAATAAATAAAAACAAAAACGAAATTCATACATTTTCAATAATCGTTTTCAACATTTGAGCTTTTTGCTTCAATGGATCAGTGTATAGACCATTTAAAAAGAAAGTTAATCCAAATGGGAAATTATGATTTGCCATCCAACTGGTTACTCGACGTCTTTGCATATCTGGTCGAGCAGACAAATAGATTAATAAAAATCCTAGTCCCTGCCAGTGGCGTGCAACATCAACAGCACCAGGGTAAACTTTTGGATCCTAGAAAAAAGAAGAATTAAATAGATGATGATGATGATGATGAGAAAGATGCAAAATAAACTATTGCACTCTCAACATGATATATAGGTTAACTCAAAGTTGTAAGCAGACTCAATAACTCTTAAAATTCCTCAAACAAGAAAGACCTTAGGAAAAAACAAAATATTCAATTAACTATGTAAATATTAATGTGAGTAAAACTAAGTGAAGAACTGGATTTACAAGAAAAACAAAAACAAAACAACAACTTACTTTTCCCATAAGAGACAAACTTGCA